GTGAGTATTGCATGTTTTACATCCACTATTGTTAAGTGAATGACTGCAGTTGTTAAGTTAGTAACATGGTTGTTAAGTGAGTATTGCATGTTTTACATCCACTATTGTTAAGTGAATGACTGCAGTTGTTAAGCTAGTAACATGGTTGTTAAGTGAATCTGACTTCCTCATTGACTTTGCTTGTCAGAAGGTCACAAAAGTTGATCACTTGACTTCGGGACACTGCAAACCGTCTTAACAATGAACCAGTTGCCATGCATCTGAATTTTGATTATGTGACTATGGGGAGGCTGCAACAGCCTCTCCATAGTCCCCAAAGCAAACCTACTTTCTCCCCAAAGTGTGAAAAACGGTTATAAGTTACTTTTTTCGGTGCCATTGTAACTTTGAATGGTTGCTAAATGAACTGTTGTAAGTCAAGGACTAACTCTGTGGGATAAATCCAGAAGAAAATGAAAGGGTAGCAGATGAGGAGACAGAAGGCCATTTAAATTTGTTTTACCCAGAAGATGAACTCACCTCATCACACAACAGAGCAACCTTTGGACTTGGTATTGTGTCATCATTTCATGCACCAGTTTTCATCTTTCAGGCACCACTGAATTATGACTATACACCACATAGTATTATGACTATGTTACAGTGCTCTCAGATATGCTGAACAAGAACCCATACCTCCTATTTTGATAAGAGGCAATTTTTCAAGTGATTTTATAAGGGGCTAGTTTGTTAGTGGTTTTCCTTTCCTATACAGGAAATATACTTAGCACAACTAAGCAGTTTACACAACATTTTGCAAATATATTTCTAGATTACTCAATTAGGTTTGCTTAGCTTTATCAAACTTTTGTTTTCCAAAGTGCAAAGAGTTTGTTCTCTTTGCCACAATGTTGTCACCAAGCTGTAAGAAATGTTTTAGAATTTACAAGCCATTCAGCTGCATAAGTCTTTGAGTAACAAATTATCCCATTTGAAAACAAAACCACCCTGATTTTTATTGATCGTGTGTCCATTAGGATCCATTGTTTTCAACAAGCAGCTCAGCACTGTTTTATTTGCTTGTAGATTAAACAATGTCATGTTGTGTCATGTTAATCTAGAGTACATGATACAATGGGACACTATCTGCTGCAGCCTGAAATGAAGCAACATAAAATAAATTACAGCCTGACAGTCAAAAGGCAGATGGCATTTCTTCCCCAATCCAACTTTAAAAATGCAATTTTCAAAGTGAATGAATGAAAAGCACGCACTAGATATATCTAGGAGGAAAGAAGATATAAAAGATCTGTAACAAAGTTGCTGTCAAATTTTAGAGCATGATAAACAGTGAATTAATTTTTTTGCTATAGTCAACGTTCTTTCTGTTTATTGTCCAGTTAGTAAGATTCAGGAAAATCAGGTACACAGAATGAAGAGATTGGACAGCTATTTGTCTGAAATGGTATAGGGTCTCCTGGTTGAACAGGGGGCTTGATGAGATTACCTTCAAGGTCCCTTCCAACTCTGTTAGTCTGTATTCTATAATGATGGGAAAACATTCCTAAGTATATTTTATTTTTTGTTTATGGCTATTTTTGGTCTGCCAGAGTTTGAACAGCTGATTATGGACCTTGCTTCAATATTCCTCAGCTTCAATACAATANGAGGACTACTTGTACTTAGTAACTGTCTCTTTACATATGAGGTGAACTGTAGTTTGCAATCAACAATGGATGCTCCATTATTTATTCTTTCAAATATTGTGCATGAGATTATAAAAGATGGCTTCTCAATAAGGTCACCCCAACAATATAAGGCTCTTCTAAAAGAGGTTCAGTTGGTTGCTTTGTTTCATTTCATTGCTTACATTTTTAGGGCTACCTGAATCTTGACAAACTATAGTATTAAAAGTTTAAAAATACAGACAAAAGAATAACAGGCATCAGGAAAAAACCCATACTAATCTTTTTTTTAAAGTCATATACTATACAAGGGGCTACTACATGGTCTGAGGAACAGTTAGGTTTTAAGGAATCTTTTAAAAGAGATCAGGGTGAAGGCCAAATAGAACTCTGGGATATATTCTTCCAATGTACTGCAGTATGGAAAGCAAAAATCTAGATTCCATCAGAGGACACTGTTTAATGCAGAGGTGGGATACTATGGCCCCTTTATGACTTGTGGACCTCAATTCCCAGAATTCCTGAACTGGCTCAGGAATTCTGGAAGTTGAGGTCCACAAGTCATAAAAAGTTTCCCACCTCTGGTTTAATAGACGGAACCTCGTGTATGTCCATTCTTCCTGAAATAGATGGTTCATCAGATAATCAATCCCTGAGCAATGAAAAATACGGGGTTTTTTTACACAGGTTTTTGGACTACAGTGAGAAATCTGTTACACTGATTTGTTTCTTTGTCTTTTTTACATATAGATGTCAAGTTATGGTCATTTGTTTAGTTGCTAGTTGAAATTATGATGTGATGAAAAAAGTGACTTATGTCTGATCCTCATACTTATGATTATGGCAGCATCCATGATCTAACCTGATCGTGACAATCCAAGTGCTTGGCAACCAGCTATATACCAAAATTACAGTATCCTGCAGTCACATGATCATCATTTGTAACTTTCCTAGCCAGCTTTTGACAAGCAAATCAATAGGGAAGCCAAAAGAAATGGTTGCAAGTCGAGGTCATGTGGTATCTAACATGACCGTGACAAAAAAGGTTGCAAAATTAGACGCAGTCATATGGTGTCTCACTTAATGACTGCACTGCTTAACCAATCCCAACCGTGGTTGTTAAGTAGAGGACAACCGGCAGTATTCAGTTTTTGTTTTTCAGTGCACCTGACAGGGTTCAATTTCTTTATTGCAATGTTTTTACGTGACCAAAACACAATATGCAATGTCTACATAATTGACAAATGGGCAGCCGTGCCTAAGCACAGGGATGCTAAAAGGATGGATGGCGTATTATGACCGCCACCCGTTCATTCTCACATTGCAGTGTCTCATGCAGGTGAAGGGGCAGATTTTGCATTGCAGTGTTGTGACATGTGTTTTGGATCGTTTCCACTTTGCCCTCTCTATGGATGTTTGATACTGTGAGATCAGACTATCCAGAAAAGAGGCATTTGAGAGACAAGGCAATCAAGAAAATTAGATTCTAAGAACAAATACTCTTTACTTGTTACAGCTTCCCCCCCCTCCCAAATATTCAAGCTACATTAACCTTCCACTGGGACAATAATAAATTGCCACCAGATTAATGTATAGCTTTTAGAGTATAAATCTCTCTCTGACTAATGTTGCCTCTTGACTACATCGGTCAAATAAGCAAACTAAAGTACCTGCAGGAATCAAGCACAATAGTCAGGGTTTGCCCTGAGGTGACTGCATAACTGATGTAGCCAACATAGGGCGCTGAGGTCAGCAATTTGGGGTCACACTGATATTTTTTTTAAGTGCCACCACTTGCACTTTGTAGCAGCATTATATTTACCTAGCGATGCTTATAAGATGGAGAACAACAGAGACGACTTCCTCTGCCACAGTAATGTGACCACAGTACTTGGTACTTGGTCACAGAAACATGGCCAAGAGGTCACTTGAAGTCCAATGTGGAGAGTGTGATATGGAAAGAATAAAAAGAGAGGGCAAAAAGGCTACAGGCAAATTATTGCTGCCAAAGCAACTGAAGCATGCATGGCGTTTCCTTCCCAGCTTGCAGTCAACCTCCTGTGTACAATGCATGCCATTAAAAAACACACACAAATAAAACAACACACACACAAACACATCCATATCAAAATGGAGACACTTCATGCCTTGAGCAATATTTTAGTTTCTTTATCCAAGTATAATAATTATTAGCGTTTGTTAAACATTACAGGCAATCTGTGGTGTTTTTGTTTGGATTACTAGTTGAAGGAACAAAAAAACCTTTTGAACTGTGCTTTATGGTATTATTTGCAATAGTTTTGCAACAACAACAACAACAACAACAGCAAACAAAATTCAAATACCTCTTACAATCAGGTCTGCAGCAGCTGATAGTTTGTCCACGCTTGTTTGCACCATGCAGACGTATTTTCCAGCATGATTCAGCTGGATGCTTCTGATCATCAAATCACCAGCTGAATCCTGCTGATAAAGTAGGGTAAAATGTTACAACTACTTTATAAAGAGCTCTAAATAGCATTACCATATGACGGCCACTTGGCTAATGCATTACTTTTACAACAACTGATGGAAATGCAAGGCATGACTTGTTTAAACTAACTGGAGTCTACTGAGAGTGTGGTCTATAAATCAAAATTAAATCAATTAAAATAAATAATCTAAAATGTGTGAACAGGAGGGTATGGCTCCCTGTAAAGGACAACAGAATTTCAGGTCAGTCAAGCAGTTTGCTTTGCATGTGATATGCAAAAAAGGGTTACATTTTTTAAATGTTCTACCTAAATGTCCAGTTTATAACCTTCATTGGTATTTGGACATCGGTTTCTGCATATCTTTATCTTTTAGGTCAACCCAAAGATAAGGCATCTACAGTAGTTTCCAGAGACTTGTGGCACAGACATGATTTAGAGGGACCACATATTTGTATAAGGTCACAAGGACTACAATCTAGAAGTTTTTGCACTACTCGGCATGGAACAATATAATTTTTTTTGAAATGCAAAAAAATCTGTAACCAATTAGCAATTGTGCGGATTCAATTATGGCTTCTGTGTGGCTTCTTGTTATATGCCAACACATATCTGCATATAATGAACTACCATTGAGTTCAATAATGAACTTGGGTTAATGTAGATGATAGCAAAATATTTCTATCTGATCTAGAATTATATTGATTAGCATTATATTCTTGCTCAATATTAGAGCCTTTTGCATGAACTAATAGGAAGTTCTGACTCTTCCTTTTTTATAATGGCTATTCTATAAATTGTTTACTTATTTAACGTATTTATATGTCTTATCATAAAGAATGCTTGAAATNCGTGGAAGGCAGAGAACATGTGTGGATGGGGCATGCTCGTATTTGCAAACCAATAGGGAAAGTAAGTGAATACCACCCCTGACGCACACATAAACACACACAGAGCCTTTGTGGTCTCAAACTGTTGTGCGTAAAAAGTGTTTTCTTCTGTGGTTTAGGCAAATAAATGTCAAGTGCCTTCTTTTATTTTATATCCTATTATTAATATGAAGGACAGAAGGATTTTGAGGTAAATCTTAACCAGAAGGGCTTAAAGGCAAGCCTCAAAATATACTGGTGGAAGGAATTAGTAGGAACAAAAACAAATTGTACTATATGGATACTCTTTCCATATCTGTAGCACTTACTTTCCTTGAGAAGACAACAAATGGTGTACACACAGTGCATTTTTCAAATGCATTGAGCATTTTTCAAATTAAAACTTGCAGTATGGCCCCAGTATGCTACAATTTATAATTCACAGCTCTAAAATGAACAGTACCAAAATGAAAGCATGCCATTTCTGCAAGAGTTTCTAAAACCCTCTTCAAATGGTAAGTGGACCATCAGGCTTCACTGATTTTTTTTTACTGCAAACCAAATTCTCCGTGTTGTTAAACAGCTTGAAGCTGCAAAGGAACATACCAGATGGAGCGCAAAAGAAAGAGAAATAAACCTATTAAAGAAAGGGGAACCCAGTTACTTCCCATCAGGGGAGAAAATAACCGTATTTGTTTTCTGAGCAGAATGTCAGCACTTTTGCTGCTGGTTGAGGCATTCTGCTTGCTAATTTAGTAGATATAGGAATCTTCACCATTGCCCTGAAACCAAAGTATTTCACTAAAAGCAGCAGCTGTCCTGGTATTCTCTAATGAAGATACATATATTAAAAGTGCAATTTAAGTTTCCCCTTAAACTTTCCTCTCTTAACTATGCGCAACATCCTCGAACATTTGAGTAGCAACAATAAAGTAATTTGCAGTTGTTGCAAATTTGCTTTGATGCTATACAAAAAGATACTGGTTTCTTGTTAGATAGCCTCTAAAATAGGATAGCAGGAGTTCAGATTGAATATTTGCTGGTATGATAGCATTTTAGGCTTAAATACCAATTTGTCATAAAGTACAACATGTCATTCTAGCAAATATACTATAGCAACTATACTATCAATAATGGACATTGGGAATAAAGTTTATTGTTGTTTATTATTTCCATCAGCAACTTAGCTTTTTTTAGTATGGGATGTANTGTCTCTGTCTTTCTCTCTCTTCCATCATCTCCCATGGAATTCCATCCAGATCTTGCAAAACCTTAAGGTGCTTTGGGACACAGTTTGAAAACTCTGTTGTAAAGACAAGGAGGGAGCAGGGAACATTCTGCAGAGGGGAACATTCCTGCATAGTGGCAGCTTTCTGTTCAAAGAACAGCTTTGTCTCTCATTTTAGATTTTGGTGGAGCTGTCCTATATATTAGTGTTCTGTAAAAAGAAATAGGAAGTTTCTCTCTGAGATTTTAGTTGTCGTTTGCAGTAATATTTTTTTAATAAAATTAAAAATTAATAAAAATTAATTTTATTGACAATGTTGACAAATACTGAAAGAATTTGTCATTTGATTCTCATTTGATTCTTCCTGAATGTATAGTTTTACATTTGCCACATTTTACTAATAAACTGCTATTTTTGGAAAGCAGAGTATTCCAAGAAATAAGTACTTAGATCATGTGATCAAGAAGATAACATGGTAACATAGTACTTACATAAGTCAAATATTTTATTGCTGAAGTTATAAACTGCTTTAATTTGAGAACATAAGTGTAAGCAGACAGACAATACAAATGGTCTCTGTTTATATAAGCATATCATCAAACTGTCCAATATTTTATTACTGTACACTCATGAAGTCTGCAACAATTACTACTAATAATATTTACCCCTCCAACTCTTTCAAAGTGATCTCCATCTTTTTCAAAGTCTATCAGACGTCCATTAAATGACCAAGTAAAGACAATGTCTAGTGGATGATCATGAGATACTTGGCAAGGCAGAAGTATACTTTCACCAGCAGTGACATCCATGCTGGTAGGTGCCACCACAAATCGTGTTGGATCTATAAATAATATCAAAGAATAAATGATCAGATTTTTAAAAGTATAATTTAAAAGTCTGAAATAATACTTGCATGATATTTGGTCAGCATAATTTTTTAAAATCAATTTAATGCAGTTGTCCTAACTAGCAAATATATTTTTATCATCTTAAACTTTAATAATGTGAACAATCATAGTATTTCTAGTAATTATAGCACAGAAATGAAAGCATTTTTTCCATGTTAGACAGTAGATACCACTATCAAGTTGTTTTGCTCTGCTGTAATGTATTTGCCTATTTGCAGGTGAGTATTTAAAATAAATTTTAAAAAATCTTGAAGAATTTCAGAAATGATTTCATTGTTGTATTTTCCATACAATGAGGAATACCTAGGTTAGGAATCTGGAGGACAGAAGTAACATTTCATTCCTTCTGGTATTAGAATCATACTGATGTCATGTTAAAATGACAAGAATGTAAAGCTTCTGGTTCAATAAGGAAGAGGAGATGTGTTGTGGACTGTCGGCCGCTGGCTCCTCCAGCAGCTGAATCCGAGGAGGAGTAGGTGTGGGAGTCAGGATCAACATCAGGGCAACTTTGACCTCCAAGGGGAAAGAGGGAATAGAGGTGGCAGAGAGAGAGTCAAAGAGAGAGAGGTGGAGTCGGAACCATCCGTCAGCTGTCAGATGGAGAGTCAACAGCCCCCAGGTTTGAGGTGGTTGATGAAGAAGAAGGAACAGCTGGGTCCAGTGTCTGATGCACAGATGCGCAAAAGGCAGAGAAGAGGAGAGCAGTAGAAAGCCATGGGTTGATCCTGAGGAAGGAAGAAGTACGCTGCTAGCAAAGCCCCATCCAAGCTCTGGGGATAAAAGGCAGGGGGCAGAGATGAATAGTGGTGGATAACTATTCATCTTCCGTCCGGATTTATTAGCCTGCGAGAGAAGCTTTTTGCTGGGGCTGCTGACATAAAGGAATCTTCTGAGTTCACATCAGAGGGTTTGTTGTGTTTGGGGAGCTNTATTTAATTTGATAAATAAAAATACATTAAAAATAATTCTATACAATAGCATCAAGAACAATTTACCAGACTATTTTGGAGATTTGCATTTTTTTAAACCACTTTAAAACATTGAATGCATGCATTTTAGCCATCGGCACATGATATACTTAACATGATATTTAAATTATTTTTGGCACTTTTTTCCAGCCTCAAACTACACAACTGAAAATGGACAAACTGGATAACTATTTTAAATATAAGGATTTATTATTAGGATAGACTAGAGCATCTTTGCTACTTACAAAGAAGAGTAAGAAATTGCTTATCTTCATTTCCACTATATAAAAAGTTCTGTGGCTCAACGTGACACTGTTTCTAGAAATGCAGAATGGAAATGTATGTGTGGGGACACACACAGACACACATACACACAAATGCAGTGTGCTAATAGCATGCAATGATTGATCCTAATGCAATGTAATGTAATAGCATATGATGATTGATTCTAATTTATCAAAGGCCGTAGATGGTTTCTTCTGTATCTGATTAACCTTCTCGGTAAGATGACCATCGTTTCTGTAATGACAACAGATTTATTCCATTCTTGAAGAGATGGATATTGTCTGGGTATAATCAATAGCTTGCAAAGGATGATACTTTGAATCATCTGCCTACTCTTTTTATCTGCCAGACACACTTGTTTTTTTTAAGCATGCCAGCTTAATTTAAAGTATCCTGAAATGATGTGTACTCTATTTTGTTACTAAATACAGAATGGTAAAACTGCATTTTTGTAGAAAACTCAGATGGTGCAGCTGCTATAAGGCACCAAATAAAAGTTTTGTCAAATGACAGATTTTATTGCCACTTCCAGAGCCTATCTGATATTAATCTTTTTGTCACATTAGCGTGGGGGGAAACCTTGATTTAATAAAACGGCAATCTATTCTATGGAGGGATGATTAAAACAAGACATTACGCTACTGCTGTTTACGTGGAAAAACAAACATTTTTCCTTTTCTGTAAAGCTGATAAAATTTTATTTGTTTAGCCTTCATGGAACTTCCTCTGAGCCTCCCCCCGACACCTTCTGATGCTGTTTCATTTCCGAATGTCTTTTTCAGTTGAAATTAACCTTCATTTCATTATTCAGCTTGAGAAAGGACAGGTATTTTAGCTGACAGGATTGGTGTCTGCTGAGTGAAGCCTTTGTTTTTTTTTAATTGGTGCTGGTTTTTTGGTGGAAAACCTTGCATCACTGACTGTTTTAATGATTTGCACTGCAACTTTCCATTTTCCTCTGATGCACTTTTTAATAACTGAACTTCAACAAATGGAGACATGGAAAGCCTTTTGATGTATAATTTTTAACAAGCTAGAATGAAAGGTGGTTTGGCATTGATTTGTACAATGGAGGAAGATTACCACATCACATACTGAAGCCTTGTGCATTTATTTAGGTGATTTTGTAGTAATACTGTAGACAAACAATCTCCATAATACTTTAGATAAGGCAATGCAACTTGTGGTCTATGGGTGATGTGGTCCTACAATATTGTAAACTTTTAATATTAATATTTAGTAGTACAGCAATATAGCAATATTTATATACATTAACTGCAGTATATCATAGAAGTGAGTACACCCCCTCACATTTTGTAAATATTTCAGTATATCTTTTCATGTGACAACACTGAAGGAATGACACTTGGTTACAATGTAAAATATTGAGTGTACAGCTTGTATAACAGTGTAAAAGTGCTGTCCCCTCAAAATAACACAACACACAGCCATTAATGTCTAAACCACTGGCAACAAAAGTTTACCCCTAAGTGATGATGTCCAAATGGGGCTCAAAGTGTCAATATTTTGTGTGGCCACTATTATTTTCCAGCACTTCCTTAACCCTCTTGGGCATAGCGTTAGAGACCTTGCGCACCTCCACCTTCTGTTTCAGGATGCCCCGCAGATGCTAAATAGGGTTTAGGTCTGGAGACACACTTGGCCAGTCCATCACCTTTACCCTCAGCTTCTTTAGCAAGGCAGTGGTCATTTTGGAGGTCCGTGTGGGGTTGTTATCATGTTGGAATACTTTTAAGATCAGAAGGAAATGATCAGATCTCCTTTTTCTTTCTAAATTACAATTTTACTAGACTGGGAAAGACCATGAGCATGGTGAGAGGACCAGACAATAATGTCTGTGGAGAATGATTAAACATACCCCATATATTCGGTATGCAGAACAGAAGATTGAGAGATATGCGATAGCAGTCTTCAGATATCTAAATGGTTGCCATACAGAGGAATAAGTGGACTTTCTCTTTTGTTACTCTCAATCACAGGATCAGTTTGCTTCGTGAAATTATATGTTCCCATTCACAAGAGCTCCTTAAATAGAAACTAGATAACCATCTATCTGTAATGCTTTAGAAGAGCCTGCACTGAACTGAGGATGGGGGATGGTGTTGAACTATATGAACTCAGTGGCACCTTCCTACTCTATGAATCTATAATTACAGAAACAGCCCTATCTAAATGGTAAGAAGGAGGGGGGGATTAAACTGTAAGGCACAGCTAAATAAGTTCCAAAAGGGGAAATTGCTTGTTGTATCTCTATATGATTCACTTTTGATCTATGCAATCCTTCCATTAGGAGTAGTAAATCTTCTATTATCTCTATCAGATTAGATCATTAATGAAGCAGAAAGTCAGGAGAATGCTACCTACTGCAGAAGAGGTTATTCAATGCATCACTACCTCCATTACTATTCTGGGACTGGCTTCTTCCAATGAAACAGCACAAAGTCAGAACAATGTCTCTCACCTAAGTACAAGGGATATGGAAATACGTATCTGGGGATTTTTAAAATATTCATTAAAATAATGAATAAACCTATCTGTTCTGAAGAGACCAACACTTCTGTATGCCGCCTCTGTGATTCGAGGCCTTTAGAGTGCTAGTGTGCTTAGGTAATATCAAAGGTTTTGCTCAGCAATGCATTTCTGCAGGCTGCTTTTTGCTTCACGTACTAAACCTGGTAAATCTGAGCCATCCACCATTTTATAGTGTATATTTGATCTCCTTAAGAAGGCAGGTTTTGTTATTTGCTAGTTACATCACCTAGATTAAAAATGCTGCAAAACTCACCATTAGGCTAACTACAGTCTGTTTTTGACTAGGCGCTTAGCTAGATTCACACGTCACTATCATGTAAAACTTTTACTTAGTGTTGTCTTCAAATAGCACCAAACCTAAAGTCCAAAGATACGTATTCTGATTTGAATCCTTTTTTTTTACAGAAACTCTCTTCATGCTCCCGTCTCTGTTCTAATACACTCTGCTATGTTGACTTGACTATTTAAAATTCTCTCTGAGTGTGATTGCTACCTTTCTTAGTTCCTACTTTCTCCTTCTATTTACCTATCTTATTAAAACCTTCCCAAAATGGAAAGGGCATAGATACTGTGCATCCATGTACACCAGAGGTTGAATTCAGCTGGTTCGGACTGGTTCACCAAAAATAGTAGTGGATATCGTGGGTGGGCCTGTCCATCTGCCCCGGCTCTATGCCGTCCTATTTAGGCACGTTTTCAAGCAAAAACGTGGAAGGCAGAGAACATGTGTGGATGGGGCATGCTCGTATTGGCAAACCAATAGGGAAAGTAAGTGAATA